TTTAATTTACAATATTTAAACCTGAATTTTATGTAGTTATCTACATTTTATCCTCCTCTTCCTTCATATATATAAACATATATACAAAGCAGAAAGGCATTGGAATTAGAAGAGATAAATTAAAGAAAGATTATCCCTTCTATTCATTTTCTCAAGCTTACACTTCTTATAAATAAGAAAGAAATGATGACTCAACCACCAAAATGATAATGCCAATCAAGAAAAAAAAATTTAGTTTCTCACGATGAATAATCTTCCTTTAAAAATGTGTATTATAAACAGGCTTATGTTGGAATGTAATCTCCTTTTTTTATAAAAATAATGTGAAAACTTTTATATGTCAAAAATATATTTCTAAAATATGTTGATGGATGCATTGGTTTATGGGGCTTTCATACTTATGTCTAATCAATAAAATGCATTAGTGTTTTCAGTTTCTCACTATTATTAACAATGATGCAATGCACAATATTTTCTCAATAACATCTGTAGAATCACCCAATTTATGCAATTTATGTACATGCACACACACATATGCATGCATAAACACTTGCCATTGTATTACAAATGTCAATGTTGCTCTCCTGAGATATAGCACTATATATGTCCATCAGCACTTTGTTATTATATTTTTAACATTCCTTCTAAAAACATACAGTATCATTTTTTACATTTGCAGTAGAAACATCCTCATGGATTCATGATATAAACAATGGTGATATATGGTAAGCCTGCATCCCATTGGACATAATCATTACAATTAAAATAAAGTTTTATTTGGGGGTAAACATAGTTTATATATTGTCCATTTTAACTAAAAATTATAGCTGGTATAATTATAGCTGGTAGCTCATTTGTGAGTTACCTTCTTAGTGTTGTGTATCCACTAATTCATTTAATCTTATTACTCCATCTGCACTAATTCATTTCATACTATTTTATCACCTTTTTTCATCTGAGAAAACTCAAGCAAATGTGAAGCACCTAGCCCAAGGATTCATAGAAGACCTTTGTTGGTGTGTTGTTGCAATCCTAGACAGTGAACTACCCAAATCTCTGATATTTTTACCATTATTTTACCATTATTACAAAAACTGGAATCTATACATTTGATGTACATAAGGTAGTAAAGGTGTTATTTCACACTGCTCACCAACAGTCTGGTGTATGTTAAAACCCTGTATTACTGCAGAGAGTTTAAATTATTTTGGCCGGGCGCGGTGGCTCAAGCCTGTAATCCCAGCACTTTGGAAGGCCGAGACGGGCGGATCACGAGGTCAGGAGATCGAGAGACCATCCCGGCTAACACGGTGAAACCCCGTCTCTACTAAAAAATACAAAAAAAAAAAAAAAAAAAAAACTAGCCGGGCGAGGTGGCGGGCGCCTGTAGTCCCAGCTACTCGGGAGGCTGAGGCAGGAGAATGGCGTAAACCCGGGAGGCGGAGCTTGCAGTGAGTTGAGATCCGGCCACTGCACTCCAGCCTGGGTGACAGAGCAAGACTCCGTCTCAAAAAAAAAAAAATAATAATAATAATAATAATAATAAATTATTTTAAAAAGGGAAATAAAATCAGCAAGGCAGATAGCAGTCACCTATTCCTTATGATGTGGCAGCAAATTATCGACTTTTGCAGAGAGTGGAAAAAAGCAAGTTGACATGAGAGGAAACTGGGTATTACAGTCAGTATAACTGAGAGGAGAATGAAGCATGGTATTCAGAGGTTAATAGAGTCACTGTGAAATCCAAAGAAAAAGTTCAATTTCATAAATAAGTAAATAATAAGAAGAGGAAGATCCGTTTAGAGCCACTCTGTAACAATATGATCTTTATGATGTTATAGAAGGTATTTTCATCTTAATGCCTGTCAAATGCGTTTAGAGGTTGAGAAAGCCCCATAATTTTTCATAATTTACTGTCACCTGCAGTGTCATAGATGCTGAAGATAGGCTAGAGTAGTATTTCCATACACATTATGGAGAAGTTAAGAACAAATGGACAGTGATATATGTGTGTCAAAAAGTAATTAAGCATTTCACAGCCATCATTGTTTGATTTGAAATGGCACTTTATTTCCCTATATAAAATTTTACTGAACTATTATCTGGATAGATACTAGGACATTAAGTTTAAAGTTGTCTTAAAATATGATTGAATGGGAAATGCTCTATACAATTTAAGAAACTGTTAGAAATATAAAGTAGGTAATTTTATTCCATCTGCAATGTGGTTTTTTTAGAAAATAGAAATCAGAATTTAAGGCATATAGATTGTTATTATGAATATAATATGTTATTAACAATTTAGTTGTGATTCTGTTTTTTTTTTTTTAAGAAATGAGGAAGATGGGAGGGTTTGGTGCAACTTTATTGAGGCATAATTTAAATACAATGATCTGCACATATTTAAAGTGCAAATTAGATGGGTTTTGACACATATATACACCTGTGAAGCCACCATCATAATCAAGATACTGAACATTTCCATTGTCCCAAGGATTTTCTTGTGACCTCTGCAATTTCTAATTCCAACTTCATTCACCTCGAAGCACTTACCTGTTTTCTGTCATTACAGATAAATTCCCATATTTTTAAATTCTACAGAAATGTAATTATATATTAGTAATGTATTTGTTTTTGGCTTGTTTTATATCAGCATAACCATTTTGTGGTCCAGTTGTTGAGTGCACTACTAGTTGGCTACTTTTGATTGCCAAGAAGTATTCCATTCTATGAATGTACCAGTTTATTCACTCACCTGTTGATGGACATTTTTTTCCCCAGTTTGGAGCCATTGTGACTAAGCAGTCATTTGTGTCTAATTGTTTGAATGGAAATATGTTTCTTTTTCTTCGGAGTGAATACTTCAGAATGAGATGGCTGCATCACACGATAGGCATACGTTTAACTTTTTGAAAAACTACCACAATGTATTTTAGAGTGATTGCATCCTTTTATATTCCCATGAACAGTGTATGGGGGATATAGGTTTTTCACATCATTGTCGATACTTGACGTAATGAGAGTTTTTTTTTCTTTTTGATTTTAACTATTCTAATAGGTATTTAGTGTAGAAATAACTTGTTAAATAATTAAATATATAGCTAAATAGTTATTAATAAGAAAATCTAAATGAGAATTTTCATCATCCAAAATTTTTTTTGTGAACAGGAAATTCATCTGATACTAGTTCTCCTATTAGTGCTTCCAGATCTTTCCACATTCCACTCTACCCTACCACTGCCTTTCTGACTCTCCAAAAGGGTAAAACTATCTACTCAGTAAGGAAATAAACATTTTTTTCCATTGAGCAATATTATTCATTAATATTATTTTATATGTCCATTTGTTTAATGGCATTTTAAAATCATTGCTAAAAATGTGTTTGGTTTGGGATTTATATGCATAATTCTAGTCATTACTAATTTTTAGTGTCTTTTAGTGAATTTAATAGAAATTGAGTTTAATATTCTTAAAATTTTACATCTTATTTATTTAATTTTACTTGAACTTCATAGTCATACCTGAAAGACACAAAACAGAGTAAATCAGAGCTAGTAAGAAAGGTCTAAAATGCAAAGCAATTATGTCTACAAAAGCCATTTCTTTTCTTTTAATTATGCACTGTGCTTTTTTGTTATTTTAAAATAATTGCCTACGAAATTGGAAATGTGCTTTTAAAAACACAAAATATATTAATATTATATGTCCATTCTTTATGCTCTCCACTTTTAAGATAACTCTCAATCATTTTAATTAAATTACCTTTATTTTAATTTTACCGATCAGGACAATAAAGAGGATGGCTAACATCCATTCTAGTTGCAATAAAACAGCCATGACCTTTTAAAGAAACACATTACAATTATTTTAAAACATTTAAAGGATATTCCTGACCTTAGCAATTTTTTTTTTATCTTGAACTATGAAATCAACACATCCTTGTTATAATGTGATTTATAGTACAAAATAAATTGTTTGGGACACTGAAGGGTGTGAGAAGGGAGAAAACATGTATTTGCAGACAATAATTCCTTCTTAATTGCTTGATCATTTCTGAATTAGGTAGAAATAACATCACAAATTATTAGTCAAATAGATAATGTATTTTCATAACTGACTGAAATCCTAGAGATAATGTAGTTTAATTTCCTCAAATTTTCCAATGAAATTATTAAATAAAAGCTTTTTAAATGTCTTTGGGTTAGAAAGCTACTTACTGCTAGAATTTTGACTATGGTCTAAGTTTTTTGATATCCAGTTTAGCTTTCTTTTTTCTAAAATTTCATCATATTTTAAACTCGTGAGTATATGTGCGTGAAACTGGAATCAAAAATAAAATTTTCTCTTGAAGGCTGGTGAATTTAGTCATTCAGCCTCCATGATTTAGACATAAGCAGAAATATGTATAATACATGAGAATCTGTTAGCATTCAGCAAACCTCTGTGTGATAGTATTAGCTTGATGTTGCTGCTGCAAGATCAATTTGTTATTAGTTAGGTGGCTTATTTATGTATATATATTTATATATATTTTAAATAATGATAATTTTTCAAGATCTGTTCTGATAAACCACCACAAACAGTGGTAGGGAGGTAACAGCTGAATCTACATTTGTATACAGAAGCCAGATTCTATTTGTGTAAGAATCATAAGACTAATATTTGGAAAATATCTTCATATATCCCAAATTTAAATAATAATAGCCAAGATCAGGAAAAGTCTGTAGGAAATCTAAGGGTTGTTATTCCAGTATATATAAATCAAAAGTTCCCTCTCAGCTCAGAGGCATTTTTTCTTCAGTAAATCACAATCACAATTTACACTGTTTGGGACAAACCTAAGTAAATGAAGAAAGAGTGACTTCTGTTTATATATCCACTTAAGATCCTTTTTGCCAACAAGATGACTCAGATAAACATATTTGTTCGACATAGTGGGGAGCAATAGGACTTATCTGAAAAGGAAGACATTAGGTTTTCCACTATCGAACACCAAAGGATAATCACTTACTCTTTTTATATCTCATCACTAAAATATGAGAAAAATACTGAGAGTAACCTATTTCACAGGATTCCCATAAGAATCAAATGAGAGAATAAGTTCTTGGCAAAGTTTAAATGTTGCGTTAGTTTGTGTTATCATCATTTATTTTTAGATGGAACGTTTATTAAACATCTTAAAAGAGTGGTCACAATGCTTCTCTGTAAAGTTATGGATGTGTCTGAGAATTTCAAAGAACCATATGAAACGATGGGATTCATGTGACTTTTAAGAAACCTGTAGACAAAGCATGAACAAACCAGAGATTAACATTTTAGCTCCATAGTACATTTGAGTTTTGCTATTACATTATGCCACTTGGAGAACTAGGATAGTAAAAATCATCATAATTTTGGCCTAATATATTTTTGTGAATATTCTTGAGATATTCATATACTTAGAGTGGAGCTATTTTCTTGTTTTAAAAAGCAATAATTATTGTATTTGAGTGGGAGAGCAAATGAATTGCAGAAGGGATTTTTAAAAATTTGAAATTAAGTAATTTGTGCTAATGGAATTATTTATTTGGAAGCTCTGGATTGAATCTATTTTTTAGCCTAAAGATTTTTTGTGAATTTTATTTTTCTGCTAAATCATACATAACTTTTAATAGCAGAACTGTTGCAATACAATACTTTATTAGTTATAAAATGGTTTTTAAATATGCAAAAATGATTTTTGTGAGTCATAAAAACTAGGCAATTTGCCCATTCTGTTGGAAGTAGGGGTTGATCAGTTTTAACATTTGGGAACTTCCAAATATTTGTTAACTTTATAGTTACAGTAACCTGAATTTTAGTTGTGGGATTTATTCTGTACTGGCTATGCAACTTTGGTAAATTTGGTTAACTTCTCAGAGCCCTAACTTAATTAATTAAAAAATAAAATATTATAATGCCTGCTTAACCAAATTGGATTAAGGCATTCATGGATAGCTACAGCTGAAGTGCATGCCAGTCACCTGCCTCATAGCAAGCATGTCATAGACAGTACCTGTTATTTTCATGTGACTACAGTCTCCCCTCTCTCCTCCAACAAAATGGTCTTATTTTGCTTTGTTCTTCGTGTGTGTAGTTTCACATAAAATCAATTAGTGCTCCAACATAGGTTAAAAAAAAAAAAAAAACTACTGAAGAGTCATTGTACTCTCTTTGGAAACCATTCAGAGATTTGAAAGACCCCTGGATTTTATGAGAAAAGAGAGACTGATTATTTGGAAGTGTCATCAGTGCAACCTCACGGAGTTGGAGTTTCCAGATAGCACCGATCTACTATGGCACAAAGTTTTGTGTGTACCTGTTTTAGTTGGTGATGATGATTGCGGGTTGGCAGGGTTCAGAAAAATAAGCCCTGTCTTAATGTTTTAATAAGTTTTTCAAATAGTTCACTATTTAAGATCCTCAGAATGGGACTTAGGCCAATATGAGAGACGGAGTGCTTTAATTGCATGACCAACTACACATTAGAGCCCTGGATTCTACCCCACTGTTATTTACAAGTACTGTGTTAAAGACTAGTTGGGACCCTCTCAGGAGAAATTAGCAGTTACATTTTCTTATTTTTACAATTTATGCTCAAGGTGCATTTACTTCGATTTAAGCAGCGTCTTTTCTACTGTAACACTCTCATGCCAGTCTAAAATTGGATAATGGGTTTCCTGCTTAATAGCAGCAAAAATTGTACTCCCTCTCCTGAAGTGGTTGACTGGGTTTCTTCACATTCAGCTGTCACCCTCCACCAGCTGAGGGAGCAAGAGACCTCTGCATGGGAGGTTACAGCCCCACCTCCTCCTGGGGCTTCTTCAGGGCCATCTCCGTTTTCAGAGTAGGATGAATACCTGCCTTAGTAACAGCAACTCAGTTACCCTGAAGTTTTACTTTGTCCGAAAAGTTTCACCAAGAGCTTGTATTTTAATGAGATACTTTAAAAATATATTTGGGAATGTATAAGGCAAACGGATTCTCTCTTATTTATGCTTAGTGCATTCGCCTACTGAAATTTGAGGGTTTTCTCAGAGATATATATATAAATATCACAATGTAGATATAGCTCTCTCTCTTCCCCTCTCTCACACACGCAAGCACACGCACCCACCCACACACACACACACACACACATCAAGGGAATGCCATATGTCCCAAGTGAGACCTACTTGGAAAAAAACAGAAGTGCTGAACATATCACTCAGGATCATTGTGAGAGGACAGTCGTCAGCTTTCTCTCTGGCAATGAGAATTTTCTCACCCTCAAGACATGCAAATGACTTTTTTCATCTGTTCTTTTTATGTTATTTGCATAATTTTCTCCTGCAAAAGTGAGAGCTGTCAAAAATTAACCATTTGGGGATTTGGCATTCAGTTAAGTGACCTTTTCCAGAGAATTAGATCTCTTCAGGGAACTAGGAACTTGATGAGGAAGTGCTGAGAAGGTGGTCAGTGGCAGAAAGAGCGGATGACGGATGGGGACCAGCAGGTTGGTAACGGCACATAACTACGTTTAAAAAGTTGTTTGATATTTTGGATCCTCTCATATGCTTGCTTGTTTTTGTTTTAATAAATCAGTATTCCAACAGATAATCAAAGAGATGATTCGGTTAGATGTAATATTGTACTCTCCTACGTTACTCTGGTTAATTGTACAATGCAAACATTTTTTGCAAGTGTAATGCTAATTGAAAATGCCGTTTGGAAAACTACACAAGCAAGGCTCTGTTCACGCCGTGGTTTGAGTGTTGTGTCTGTAGCAATCTGCCAAATATGCTTATTTAGTATGAATACTTCCTTTTTATAAATTCAGAGAGTTGCACTCTGGAGGGCTGTAATAAACCTTTAAATTCATTTTACTTCGACAAAGGTTAAAGTATGTAGCAGGCGAGGAGCAGAGACAAGTGCAGCTTTCTCTTTGATCACATCGCTTTAAACATTTTTTCAGCTTTAAGCTTGTCGTAACAATCAGCTGTATCAGTCTATTAATTGTTTCACTGTACCTAATATCTCACACGAAGGCACCTTGAAAAACAGCAGGAGAGAGCACATTTGTTTAAGTCCTGCGATGGCTAGCACGGCGGCTAATCCCCTTGCAAATTATAATCATAGTTGTAGTTCATCCATTAGGCTGGAAAAGACAAGATTCCCAAGTGGCCTTGGTGCCTTTTCCAGTTTCCAGGAGACCCACCAACCCTCGGCGTGTGTTGCCTGCGCACCCGGAGCGTTCTTGCTAATCAGGTCAATGATTAGCGCCTGGCTCCAGGGACCTGCCAGGAGTCTATCACAGCAGTTAGGGAGCCTCCAAACGGAGCACGCTCACGGAGAATCTCCCGTTCAGAAACATCGCTTAGTCCTCATTTACTCACTGGGAACCTCGGAGGATTTCAGCTGATCTTTTTCTCTCCTTAGACAGTGAGGAGCTCAACATAACAGGGAAAAGGAGCACAGGATGCAGCTACTTGAAGGGTGTTGATTGAAAACTTCGATCTCCCCACCCCATTCACGGTTGATTTGACGGATTTCTCACCTCGTTCACAGAGAAAATTTCAATTAAGGTAAGTGCTGCTTTATCTGGGTGACTGAATGGCACTGAATTTCTGCATTGAAAGTTCTAACTGACTAAACTGACATTCTGCACTGCAGCAAGTGACTGTTTGTGTCAGGAAAAGCTTAGTTTATAAATAAAGCAAGTGTCCTAGAGTGAAAACGGCGTTGGAGATAATGATACCTCAGGGCAGTTTCTTTTGATACATATTCATTCTGCCTTGTATCAAGAGAAAAGAAAAGGGAACATGAAAAGATAGTTAATTTCTCATTTTACCTTTTAAATAATCTATTTGGAGGATTGTGCCTTGCCAAGGTAAATTGATTTTGATTGAAGTGGTTTGTTGATATCATATAGTAAAATCTGAGTCTGAAGCCTTCAAAGTTAAATCAGATGGAAAGAAAATTTACAAATGAGAGTTGAGATTTTGTGCAGCTTTCTACTTTAGCAATATTCCTGAGCTCCCTTTTCGTTTAAGGATTTAGGACTAAATCCCTGAATATTTTAGTAGTATCCATGTGGACCTTAAAACTTAAATGTTATAGTTTCTGTTGCAAGTATTAAGAAAAATGAACCTAGAAGACTTATTATACCATTCATATAATTTATAGTTCTTATTCAAGAGAAGTGGATTTCTTTTATGAGATGAATTAATAAAAAAGAAAGCAATGGAAAATTAAGTGCTTTCTAAAATGCTTGTTTTTGAAAGAATTCTTCAATAAGAGATTAAAGTTATGTGTTTATAAAAAATTCTATTTTATATTTCATTTCATTTTTATTGTTAAGATATAATGAACTGAAGTTAAGCTTGCATTTTCTATATCATTTAGGGCAATTATCCAGGTAATTCAGATTAAACCACTCCATATGAATTCTTTTATACCCATTTTCTCTTAAGTTTGTTAAAAATATCTAGAAAGATATGGTAAGCAACGTTTTTTCCAAAGTTTAATTACCTGAACTTTTTCTTTTCTACCTTACTAAGCTCATGTAAATATAGCCTGATGGTTTTACTCCACATTATGATAAATTTCTATGTAATTAAGAGTAATAAAATAATTATATCACTATAATTATGTGATGTATTAGTCTGCACTCTAAATACTGAAGAATAGCAATCACTTACCTTGATATTGTATGACATACTATAAAAGTTTTCAAATAATGAAATAAACATTATTTAAAATATCGCATATTATAATACTGAAACAAATTGATTTTTAACAATTAATTTCTATTGTTAAAGCAAAATGTAAATATCTAGCTGCTTTGTATAAAGATTTATAATGGTATCTCAAATGTGCTTTTTAGAGTGAGCACTCATATTTCCTGAAGTGCTGACTCCCCTTTTCTTCTATGGATCTCTTGAGACGGGACATTTTATAAAGATGTTAGAACACTTTCTAATAATTGGGTATCATTCTGAAATTCTCTGGAGAGCTTTTCAGTGTGATGTTGATGTTACTGCTTCTTCCAGAGGAGTAAACCATTTTCAAGGTTCCCAAAGGCTGATGCGTACTTGGTTACCAGTATGTTTGTAGCTAAAGCCTGAAGACATTTATCTACTTCTCTTGTTCTGAGACTTCTATCTCTTTTCCCTGGGGAGATTATTCTCAATAGAATGAAAGATAATTCAGAGAAGAATGTGTTGACTACAGTGACTGTCACTGAGTCTTTGGCTTCTTATTTTCTTTTAAGCAAACTTGATAAACAGAAAGAGGCAACATTAACCAAACAGGGGCACACACTTGCTACTAGCGAACTTGCATGTCACTGAAAACATCTCTGTCCTTGTGCCAACTTCAGAATTGACGGCAGCATCGGACCCAATGAACGTTTTATTGGACGTATTGACCACTGAAGTGTCTGACCAGAGTACGTCCATCGAAGGTTGTGTTTACTGTCTAATGAAATACCTACGTTTAAAAATGGAGGGAATTGCAGTTCTCATTCAAAACATAACTAATCCCCAATACACAAGTTTACCTACATAACAAACCACCATAGGTACCCCTGAACTTAAAATAGAAATTTAATTTTTAAAAAAATAAAAATACAATTGATTAAAGGAGTTTTACCGTTATCATAGTTGTCTGAATTTGCAATATACTGATAAGAGGATAGAGAAAATCTTGGGTTCCATTGAGAATTAGTAGCAATTTATTTTACTTAGCATTTGCCTCCTTAATCTATATTGAATTCCATTTTTCATTTGATTGAGGGTAGTTTATTTCTTCTGTGAGATTGGAAAACATCTTATAGGATAACCTCACTTAGAATAGGAAGTCTCAAAATTTAAATAAAGTAATCTTTTAAAACTTTACAAAACTTGCTTCAAGTTCTATAACTTGCTCCTCAGTAAGTAATATGTTCAATAAGACACTAGAGATAGGCAGTATCTGATCTAGCTCATATGCTTCCTCAATTCAGCTGAGTTATAAACTTTTTATATATGAATAAATGATAAATATAAAAACATATGAAAGTTGAAATGTTAACATGATGTTATTTGCCCTCATTTTCCAGAAGAAAAGCTGGAATCTGAGAGAGCATACGTAACTGGGCCAAGGGCACACAGTAATGAACCTATGATTCAAACTCAGATCTGGCTGTGTTTAAAGCTCATACACTTTATACTATACCTTTTTGTAACCTCATATATGGTGACTGTTTCCAGCTTTTGACACAATACTCATGAATATTGTAAGACTATTTTTAAGATAGTACAAAGTAATCATATTACCTTTAGGACAGGTTAACTCTTGTTGTACACAAAATAAATGATTTTGTAAATTCCATCACCACCAGTATTGGAAACCAGCATGTACTTTGTTCTTTTAGTTTCTGAAAGAGGTTAGTGTGCAAGTCTTTGCTTCCAGCTGATTCTGATTACTACTGACAGAAAAAGCACTCTACTGTAAGCGAAGTCTCTACTGAAATGTAGTATTTGTAACATATACGTCTTTCCAAGAGAGGTTGACACACTCTCAGGATAAAATAAAATGTAGAGCTATAAATTCAATGTTAAATGTATTGAAATGACATTAAAAGGAAGTTAAGGGGAACTCACGTTAATAGTGAAAGATATACACAATATTAGAAAAGGTAGAGACACTAACTGTTGGAATTGAATGTTGGAAGTGGACTTTAGAAAAAACAGACTTACATATTCAGGAGTCTATTTGCTCTGCTGACTTTATATAAACTTTCCCATATGTACACAGAGGTTTGGTGTAGCTAATCATGTTGATATTGTGGTAATATTTTTCAATTAATATTTGATCTAGTCCTGTGACAAGAAGGGAGGGATGTTATAAGATTAGAGGTGACCTGGAAAATTTAATATGATTAGCTGTCATGTCCAAGGATGTGCTAAGATGGTAACTAGAAGTTAGGTTGCATGGTTATAAAATATGATAATTTATTGTGTTCCAACATGTTCCCAAATCTGGAAAGAGATGACATTGTACCAGATACTGTAAATAACAGGTTCCATAATGACTAGAAATATGATCAAGGCAAATATATGTATAATCTCTAACAACCAACCAGCATACTTTCAATTCTCGAGGTTTTTGGAAAATGGCTGGCTTATCCTAATCTTACCCTATAAGAATAACAGAAAAAACAAAATATGTACACATTACCTTCTGTATTACTATTCCAAAAGAATGAGCATGATCTGTAAAGAACAATATTGCAGAAGAGCTTGTAATGGTGAAAGTTCACAATGCATAAGTGTTTCCACCAAGAAAATATGACCATGTGTCCAGGCTTTACTGGCCACAGTAGGTTTGATGAGAAATGAATGTGCTAAGGTCTAAGACCGCCCTCTGTAGACTGGCCAGTGGTCACCATGTGGCCTTCCAGGAGAACCATGCCAATAAAAATGTTCTGTGTGAAATAACAAATATTTGACTTGGTTATCTTACATATGAAATACCATGTGGAGCCTCAGCAGTTCGTGGCCAGGAAAAGAAGCTGAGAAACATAGAAAGGACAGTCATAGAAATCATGAATAAGCTGCAGTAATGAGGCCAGTAGAAAGGAAAGAAAAGAGGTTAATTGCCTTAGGTCAGTAAGAACAGATACATTTTCTAACTTACCCCAATAGCTAAGCACAAGAGGAGAAGAGTGCTTCTTGGAGGAGGTACTGTGTTATCCTGGGTCGACATCCTGTATGGTATTCCAGGCATACCATGCAGTGGTGAGACTTTTCCCCATTTTTCACATTCATATTTTTCTCTGTAGTTTTAGTCCTGTTAATCCATTCAAATTGAGCACATCTATTTCCCTTACAAACGAAAATATTACAACTAACTCAGTATCTTACATGTTCATAGTTTCTGGTAGACAATGGATGGGGCAGTAATGCTTAGTTGCTGTGTATGTTCTAGGTTCAACTACCTGGTTCAAATCCAACTGAGGGCATTTGCTAGCTCTGTGGCCTTGGACAAGTCAGTTAAGTTGTCAAAACTTTGTTTTTATGTTATTTAAAATTGAGCCGATCACAGTACCTATCCCATTGGAGTGTTCTGAGAAATAAAGGAGGTAATTGATATATCTGCAATTGCTCAGGTCCTCAGAAAATGATAGTTACTGTGATAAATAGGGAGCTTTATTATTAACTGTCACCTTACCTATAAAGTAGAAAAATCAGAGATCTCCTCTCTCCTTAGCAACAGTGAACACTTGGATCTTGCCAAAGCTCCAGGAACCATTTCATAATACTGTGTTTATGTAAGTACATTTGAATTTTGGAACATACTTTTTTGGGGGTCCTATTGGATTTACACAGATGAAATGGATGTTTCTTAAGAGAATGTAACTTAGGAGCCATTTTAGAGAAACCATCCTATTTGTCATGAGGACTAAATTAACAACTGAATTCTTTGAATCTTTCTTACCTATGTTGAAAGGAATTGAACAAGTCTTGAAAAAGAAGTTCCATCTGACCACTGGTAGTGGACAATCTAACTTGGTATCACAGGGGCAAGAAAAATAGCCCAT